AATTTTATTATTATTTTCTAATCAATATATATCGGAAGGTATGGATATATTTAAGTTATAATGAGATGGCAAGAGACTTTATTTTCAGTGATAATAATGTATTGTAAAAATAACATAGATGTTAGAAGCAGAAGATTGAGATTTTGAGATAAATGTCTCGTTCACAGCAAATAAATATGTAGGCATATATGAAATTCGAAAGAGTGAAAAGCTATTCCGAAAATCCTAATGTTGAAAGTGCAGCAATGTTTTTCCTTCTTTTAACAAAAAATACTTTAAAAATAAATCATTAACACATATAGAACTAATCTATTTTCGATTTTGTATTTCTTGCACATGTTTCTGTTAAATTTAAACAGGTTACGGCAAACTTATTCCTTAGGCCCATCCCCTCAACATTTATGATTAGCCTATCTATTCTCGTCATAGTCAACTCTGTGTGTAAAATCTGTATTTTAAAAAAAAAATGTCAAATCATCTTATAAACCTGAGTGCAGGGTCTTCCTATCCACTGTATACCAAAAGATTCTTTCATTGGGGTACAGTGGCCGGAGCGTGAAGCTGTGTACACAGGTTCAGAATGCGTAAAGCATTATTTTCACTCGTATTATAACTTTGTGCCAAGGCGTCTTTATCGGTCTACGTTTTTGAAGATCTTAACTCGATATTTAAACGTAAGTAGTCTGCATGCCTTTAGCATCGTTTGAAGCGTATTGACCACAAGTTGGTGGATCCCCGCCTGCTCTGCCCCGTAGCCTACGTTCTGTGTATAAAGGGGCAATCCATTCATTAGCCAAGAGACCGCTCTAAAGCTTGGGGAAGTGGCTAAATGCTGAAGCTTCTGTGAACATTATTAAACCATTCTAATTTAGAAGCAACTGCTCTGCCTTTTTCAAATGCTTGGATTCATTGAAGACTGGAAGTGTAGGCTTGCTATACAGGCTCTCTGTAGCATATATTGTGGCTTTTAATCAGTACGATCCGCTGGTACAGACAGACAAACTAGCCATTTAACAAACAAAAGCATTGATATCACAATGACACTATTTTACGTTTGTGGCGCTGATTGCATAAAATTAGCACATGCTGAGGGGGACTTTCATTGTACCCCTGTCCGCTGTAGTGCTTCAACGTCATGTTTTTCTATCTTTTCTCCCTTCTTAATTTCTCTCCTCTTTTATTTTTCATTCCTATGTTTGTTTCTTTGTTCGTCTTTCTGTGTCTATTTCTTTCAATTTTCGGAGGTGCTCTGAAAACAGTCAGAGAAGATCACCTATTGATGGCGAGACTTGAGGTTCTCACGGCCGTGAGTCTGGAAATGACTGTCTTCTGCGTAGTTGCGCCGTGTAGTCTGAAATGTCCATAAACATCGACCAGACTACACAGCGCAACAACCCAGAAGACAGAAATCTTCATACTAAGAATCGCCCTGATGATGGAGGCAGTATGACCTCTGAAACGTTGGTAAACATCGACCAGACTACACAGCGCAACAACCCAGAAGACAGAAATCTTCATACTCATCGCCCTGATGACGGAGGCAGTATGACCTCTGAAACGTTGGTTAACATCGACCAGACTACACAGCGCAATAACCCAGAAGACAGAAATCTTCATATTCCGGGTATTTGAGGACAAAGCGCTTAGGAGAATATACAAATAAGCAAACAAACTGTTAACACTATAAATGACACTAGTGCCAAACGTGTTTCGACCTCAAGAGGTCATCATCACTGATGCTTATTTGCTTATTTTTATATTCTAATACACTACACGGTATGCAAAATTTTAGGCTTAGGAGAATGTTTGGACCTATGAAAAAGAAGAGAAAAGAAAATTTTACAGTTCGAATGAAACCTAACGCTTTCTATGAGTGTTACATTGATTGAGGTTTTTAGAATTTAACTTTCACATTGGCGATTATTGCATCCATTTTGTTTCGAAACGTTTTATCACAGTGGTTTCATAAATATCCGTCCCAGGAAACAAAAGAACAACGAAATATCCACTCAACCGCCTACAGAAGTTTCAGGTCTGCAACATAAGCTCGTTTCAGTCGCATAATAATGCGCTCAGCAACTTCAAGCTTCTCGCAGCACCTGCTTGTGGCCGGATTTAAAGCAGGCAGAAAACTTAAGCCTACGGTACTTATCTGGCGGCTTTTAGTAGATTAAAGTTCAGGGACTCTGAATTTGACGGAAACCCCCATGAGTTCATGTGCCATTTGAGCGTGTAGTAGTTCATTCCGGCTGAGGTTTTACGCTGGCGTTTGCATCTAACTGCTTCGAAGCCTTTGAAAAGCATCAGCTCGCGCTGTCGTACACAAGTCGATAGCTGCTTGCTTCCTGCGTTTTGCCTTCTCTAAGCCAATTTGGGGTGGGGGTATAAATTAGCATCAAGGAAATTTCACTTAAGAGATATCTCACAGCTGAAAAACAGTATCAAAGTAGTTATATTTTGTCTGCAGAAATGATTCTTAAAATTTCTACATGTACTATACAGAATTTTTAGGTATACTGTGTTTATCATGTGCTTCCATATTACACTTCATATGCCTAGCTGAAATGATTTATTATTTGCAGAGATTAAACCGAAATGTCAAATACAGATTTCGCGCGGATAACACGCTGTTGTATTTAAAGGGGCCATAAATGTCAGTGGAACGAAATCATGAAGAATGAATAAGGAAGGATAGACTTAAAAAAACATAATTAGACGACGTCCAGGGTTACGTTAAGAATGTGGATGGAGAGAGATGGAGAGCAAAAGCAATGGACAGTAGAGAATGGAGGAAAATATATGAGGCGACAAAGTTTTTTCAAGAACTGTGGAACTACGTAAGCAGTCAGTCAGTCAGTCACATTCAGTCATCCAGTCAGTTAGTCCACATATTACTATCTCTCCATCATCAGGGCGATTCTTAGTATGAAGATATCCGTCTTCTGGGTTGTTGCGCTGTGTAGTCTGGTCGATGTTTACCAACGTTTCAGAGGTCATACTGCCTCCATCATCAGAGTATGAAGATTTCTGTCTTCTGGGTTGTTTTCATCAAACAAACGCCGTCATTGAAAAGATTTATCTCAAGATGAAGATTTCTGTCTTCTGTTTTTGCGCTGTGTAGTCTGGTCGATGGTAACCAACGTTTCAGAGGTCATACTGCCTCCATCATCAGGGCGATAAAACGTTGGTTAACATCGACCAGACTGACTACACAGCGCAACAACCCAGAAGACAGGAATCTTCAGTTGTATACCTCGTTCGTTTTCTCGTAAATGACAGTAAGAAGAACTCCATGCAACAGCGAGGGGAGTTGGGATGGGCCAACTGTATCAGTGCGCTTATCGATCACGTGGTACACAGCCGAAATCACAAGTTTTTCCAAGTTGTCTTAACATTCGAGTGTGGTATTTCAGGCGACAACACTGAACTATTCCGATGCAAACGTCTCGCTTCGCTACCAAGCTGCAACAGAATCCCACTCTGCTATTGCGTTTCGCTGTTGTGTCCCAGAGAAGGTCAACCTTTATAAGGAAGGGAGTAAACTCTTGTTACTTAGTACGAATTGAAGCTTACCCGTAGGACTCGGTCTGTCTGGAGCAGTCACACCGCCCACAATCGCCGACGGATGAGACACCCTCGCGGTCGCCCAAGCTGCATACCATGGACAAGGCTTGTTGTCTGCCGCAGTGGGTTGTGGGTAGACAGCAACAAACGGGCTTCTTCCAGATGCCGCCGCTGCCAGAGCGCCGAAATGCGTCATGAAACCCAGCCTGCAAACAATATATTTCACTGTGTGGTTGTGTATGGGATCCCACAATTAACCCTTTCCATTGCAACGCCTAAGAACAAGAACACTTTTTCTGTGAGTCTGTTGATGTTTGAGTGGATGAGATAAAGCAACGTGTCCCGCCATCTCTCTACAGCTGAGGCCAACAATACGGAGTTTTTTTAACAACTAAAATTATACGTTACAACGGAAGTATATTAATGTTTGTCGGAATAAAAACCAGCACGGAAAGAATTAAGGATTTCCATGTAGGTCACTCGAACACAGCTTCCTTGATCGTTTTACATAATTAGACCTATGTAGAAGGAGTTATGGCTGGACAGCGAAGGAGGCTACGAAGAGGTTAGGTTTGTAGTTTCGAAGGTTAATACAAGATCTGCATACAGAAATTACATAAGCGATCATGCAGATCTTAAGATGCTTTTTATATACAGATCACAACGTCCACCTAACGCAGGGTTTTTGGGTTTCATAACTTTTGGGTAAAAAAAGTTTTGCAGCAACAAAAGTTTACTATACAATATTTATTATTTATAATTCTTCTCCTTTCTTCCCCATTTCGAATTAAATTTTGCTAATTTTATTATGTCATTTATATCAAATATATTTATTAATTCTGCAGCATTGCAACTAGTTATTGTTGTAGGATTTGAGGTTTTCACAGCGGTGAGTCTGAAGACTGCAATATTTAGTAATTGTTTTCTTATAAACTACATTTTTATTAATAATTAGTCATTTACTAGTGAAACGTTCTCGCTACGTCTTTGTTTAACAGTATATGTATAACTTTTTCTTCCTCTGCTGAGAGTTCATCTTCCTTCCTTACATCCTCTCCTCATCACTCTTAGTTCCCACATAACAGTCTTAAACCACGCTAACTCATTTCTTTCATCGCCCTGATGATGGAGGCAACAACGTCGGTAAACTTCTATCAGACTACACTGCGCAACAACCCAGAGGACTCAAACCCTATTTGTAAACAGCATCTCCTAAAGCATTTCAAAGTAAATAGTTTTTATACGACTTTTGTATGCAAATGGACATTTAATTTAATTTTTATTTAGTGTTCTGTCTGACGACAGGTCCATATGAACAGGATCCTTCCATCCTTTTCTCGGACTGGGACCTGTTCATATACGTTCTTGGCAGATGATCCAGAAGTGGTTTGCCATTGCCTTCTTCTGTGTGTGAATGGAGTAATTGTTGGGATGCCACGGAGGAAAACTCCGTGTTGCCTAGACCACGGCCTTGCCCAACACAAGTTATAAATTCGGGCACCGCCGGGAATCGAACCCGAGACCCCCAGGATTACAAGGCTAGCGTTCTAACCGGTAGACCACCGTGGTGCTCCAAATGGACATAAAGAAGGTTAAAGGAAGAGAATAGTAAAGAACGCGTTTGGAAAACCTGTGTGCTTTCACCCATTTTTAAATGAGACACCTTCCTGTTTCGTATCCTCCGTCCTCAAGAATCGCTTTGCTGTAACCATCGTCCCAGCAGTATCCCCATTACTAGAGTGTTCCGATATGCTTTGTATCGTTGGATTTCAAACTCCCATTTGGAGTAGCTGTTTTGCCTCTCGTCGCATACAAATCTTACTGTGCCCCAAAGAGGGATCAAGAAACTATAAAATGCCACATAAGGAAACAGAAACAAGAGATATGGGGATTGATAAAGCAACTTTTACTGCATTGATTTTACATGCAAGACGATTCAGAGGCGTCCCTTCCTCAGAGTAGCCCGACGTCACATAAAGTGCACTTTATTTAATCCCTCTTGTGGGACCTCTTCTAGATATTCCCGTCATAAACTTCGGTACTTTGCAGGTCCGATCTCTGATGTCTTCTCTACATAAATCAATACTATCTCTCTTCACTAATTACGTCGTTCCATGCACAATTTTTCCATGGATGCACGTAAGCATTTTAAGAGTGTAATTATGCCCAATTTTTCTCGTTTTTAGATTTTTATATACACGTATTTGCCATTTAGTCTACTCAGATTGTAGTTATTAGGCTACGTGCAGTTTTAATTCTTAAGTATATCGAAAATTACTTGTACAGATGTACGTCTAACCGAACTTTGTTTTTAGGGGTATCCATTGCCGTTTGTATTCTTTGGATAGCCTTCTGCATTAATTCGTAATATTTCCATTGTAAGGAAAAACCGCTATTTCGTGAAGTTTCTACACGATTTTAATTTGAAGGAATATACTCGACTCATCGCTATTTTGTACACGAATTATGTTTTTTAAGAACGTCCTCTATCTCATATGTTCACTACATTCATTCTGAGGAATAATTATTTGTTTCGTACATACGCGGTTTTTATTCTTAGAATTTCTTCTGTTTGATATCTATGACAGAAGAAGGCAATGGCAAACCACTTCTGGATCATCTGCCAAGAACGTATATGAACAGGTCCCAGTCCGAGAAAAGGATGGAAGGATCCTGTTCATATGGACCTGTCGTCAGACAGAACACTACAAATAAAAGTCTCTCACTGTTTCTTATATCCGCGATTTTCATACTTGACAATATACTCTGATCATCAAAGAGGCAGATTGAAGTAGACGATACCTAATTCATAAGTTGTAAAATGGTGTTCAGGGTCCTATGTAGCAAGTGAAGTGTACTTGTTCATAATTTTATTACTTTCGAATTTCCACTACATTAAATTTTCCATACATCATTATTATTGCCTTTGTAGGATTACGTCATTAAGACATGTTGCTATGAATCCCAAGAAGTTCTTCCTTTCTCCGTCGTCAGTTTCTCAGACAATTTAAGTAACAGTGAGAAACGTAAGGTCGATTATACAATTGAAGTTTTGCTAAATGCGTAATTCGATGGAATTACCAAGCAGATAAAAAAAGTATAAAGACAGATGGGCAAAGTGTGGTATTGTAAATGTGTCAAAATAAATAAAACTCAAATTAAATATTATGAAACACGTAAAGTAGGCCATATTATAATATTAATAATTCAATTCAATTCATTTATTTAAGTGCTTGACAATAGCCAAAAAGGCCAATAACAGCCAAGCACTAAACCAGAGTACAGGATAAAATATAATAAGTAATTAATTTATTTCAATAATAATAAAAGTAAAACAAACAAACAAACAAAACTAAATATATATTTATATATATAATAATAATAACTTGGGTTTTGATAAACATAAGAATCATTTCAAAGAGTAACAGGAAGACCAAGAAGACGATACTTTTGAGGCCAGCACAGGAATTAATCTATGTAATCCACGAAGACAAGAAGGAGAGAACAATAAAAGTACAGGATTCGAAAACAAATCCTAAAATACCATCCGATGTGCACACTAGGACGAAGAATGTCGCCCTTCGGTAGCCTAGCGTTGTGATAGAATGTGGCAATGATGATAAAACATGGATGCAAATTACACTGATAACAGCTGTCTACAGAACACCTAAATAAAACCGGCGATACCGACTCTCTGGAACGGAAATGCTCGACTGAGTCTAAAAAAAAGGCGGTTTGATAAAATAAAGTATGAAGTCGGAATGGGCCAATAGGTTCCAAAACATAAAATTGTTGGTAACGATGATTATTGTGAAAGATGGCTATCTTTTGTGTTCTTCTGGCAGAAGTATACCGACGTTTCGGATATGCCTTCTGTCTCCATCGTTCGGGAAGTTACTCATCGCCCTGAAGATGTATGCAGTTAAGCAGTGAAACGTCGATAAAGTTCTGCCAGACAACACGGCGGAAGAACCAGAAGACAGCCATCTTCATTCTCGCCGCCGTGAGAACTGAAATCTCACGTTATGGTGAAAGTTTGAAAGACACTCTGGGCGGAAATCGGAGAACTGCTTTCCTTGTAAACGTGTTACGGTTTGCTGCTGTTGTGCAGTTAAATTACCGATAGTGAAGCTGTGCTCCTCACCTCCGCAACTTCTCTCCGCTTCGCATCCTCTTCTCGTCGCATCAAATTTGCATGAACACTTAAGCGTCGTCTTATCAGTGTCTTAACATCCTGCAGAAAAGTGGCTCTGTTTTGCTTACGGTCTGAAGAGCAGCACTCGACGTCCTACAGCTAATGGCTAGAACAAGAATTCTCGTACATCGGAACGATGCAGCAGACAGGTGGATCGGAAAGTCTGTCGACCGCAATGGGACCAGAGAAATCAGAGAGAGAATGGAAACAGCTGGAATAGAAAAGGAAGAAAAGAGAGACAAAGAAGGAACAAAAGAACACAGAAAGAGGAAAAAGAAAGCACATGATGTGCAGGTCTTCCTCGTGCGATTGACAGCGAAACAGCTGACCAAGAAATTCTTTGCTGTTATGTAACGTGAAATCTCATCTTCGTCGTCTAGAAGACCATTGTACTTCAGAGGCATCTCCGCTCTGTTCGTAACTGCACAGCCTGTGTCTTCTGGTCTGTCGACTACATTGGAATAATCATTGTAACTCAACATGTTTCAGACAAACGCTGATGGTACTGAAACGTGTAAAGTCCAATCCTTCGGAATGTTAAGGTGCAACGTGAATGTATTTCATGTTTATTTTGCTGAAGACTGTATCCCGATTTCCTCTCTCTCTCTGTCCTGGAGTTTGTTCCTCCCAGCAGACTCTCGCTAAAGTAGATCTAAGAGAAAGAGAGAGAGAGAGTGTGGGGGGGAGAGAAAGAGAGATCCAGCGCATACATAATTGCTTTGTCCTGGGAGACACTTTAGACTTTAGAAAGCTTTATTAATATTTCAAGACAACGACTATACGGCTATCAAACTGCACTGGGTGATTCAGCATGCAGAATCCAACCCTGCTTCAGTTTACCATCAATAACTCTAGCATCAAAGTCTGTAACCAATGGAAATGTCTAATTATTCGTGTTTTTTCCCCCGTCTAATCACAATTGTATATAAATAAAATTATACATAAGATTATACATTGAACAATGTAACCGAAACATGTAGTAAAACGTTGTATCAAATATGTAAATGATAT